CCGACAGACCGGCTTCAATCTCTTGGACTCGGTTTAGGGCTTAGGTTTTAGGCAGGCTTTGCTGGTGGAAAAGCCCTCCGCACCCCAGGAAAACGCTGTTTCCTCCCCCCACACCCGAAATTGGGTACTGATCCTCGCTCCAATTTCTCTTCCAGTTTCCGGCATGGCAGTGGACTGGTTCGGCTTTGGCTACGCCGCCCTGGTGGCATCAGGAGGGCTCATTGGCTATGCAAAAGCAGGTACAGTGCGGGAAGGTGTTTGTATCCCATTCTCACCCCCACCCCCCCCCGGCCCCCGATAACTTTGAGCTGGGCGGCTTTTTACGCCTCCTATTTTTAAGCCTCCTATCTCGAAGTTCATGCAGATGTAAAGTTTATCAGTTGGTGCCATGTGCTGATAACTGACTGGTGTAGGGGTGTGGTGCTCTTTGGGTTGAACCGGTGCTTTGGGCTGATAAGCCCACAATCTGCTTCGTGGTGGATGTTGGTACGCTGCCTCAGCATTGTGCTCTTTGGCTGAACTGACATAAATTTGCTTTTAGAAAGTCTTTTTCCTTGCTGTTTTAAACATAAGCATTCTGTAAATGTTCTGTATCTTCAAATGACATAAACTACCATTTTTTTCCTCAGAGATTCTCATTTTAATATTTGATGGTAACAGTATACTGCAAGCTGCAGAGAGATTTCAGAAGGCTTCTCCAAGTAGAGCTGAACAACACAAATCAGTCCTTAAACTTGTTCCTTTTCCAGGCTCTGCATCATAAGCTTACCCTCTGACCTACTGCTTTAATTTCCTGATCTTCTTCCTCCCTGCTGCAATACTGTCTCTTTCAGCTTCAAAAATCCTTGTGCCACATTAGTGTTTGTGATATGAGGGTGCATTGCTGAAGTCAGTAAGAATCTTAGCGATGCGTTTGACGACATAGATGCTAATGACTATTCCACTTGGGTTTCTGTTGGCTTGATTTATCCTTTGGGCTGTGAGAGAGCAGGAGGGACAATACTTAGAACTGAAGGAACTCATTACATCTGTATTTCTCTCAGCCCATTATGAAATGGTAGGTGGCTTTCTTAGCCTCTGGTCCCAGATGGGAGGACACGGTCATGCTGAGGCAAGGGAGTCCAGGTCACAGGATTTTTGAAGGGGGAACAGGAACTTGTATGGTGACTTGTAGGGAGGGAAAAAAAAAAAAGCTATCATATCCCGCTAGTAACTTGAGAAACCAAAAAAAAATGGAACTTTCACCCACAGAGTGAAGATGATGATCTGTTCTTTTACAACCAGGTCTATTTGCCCACACCAACAGTAGTGAGCAGTAGGTACCCTGGGAAGAATACGAGAGCAGGACAAGCAAAGAGTGAGTGAATGATTTTCTCTCCTCATTTAGTAAGTTCTCTGGTCCCAGTGTTTGAGACTCGGGAACTTCCTGAGCTAGAGGTGGTGTGATTGTCCTAGTAAGAGTATATGTTACAGCTGCTTAAACACTGCCTTGAGGTAAAATTCAAGGATATGGTGGCCATTTCTTGTCTCCCAGGCTTGTGGAAAGAATTGTAGCTACCACATGTTGGTTGCTAAACTGTATTCTGTGTAGAGCAGCCACTTACTGGAGTGCACATCTTTTCATTGCACATGTACAAGAATATCTGGTGCTTTCTATCATCTTTATCTCTTGCTTTTTATACCGAAAGCAGGATCTGAAGCAATGTTACAGCTGCCTTGTTGATGACTGAAAAAAATACTACTTTCTGGTAGTAATATGTGATCCTCCTGTAACATTGATAGATCTTTATCAGCTTAGCTTTGCAATCTCGAGTCTTTTAAAGGTGACCTGAAAATTGGAAAAAATGTAAAGAACCACGCTCAGTAGCATTAAGTCCTGAATTGTGCATTAGCCTTATTGAGGGCATTCACTGCTCACAGTGGTCACGCCACTTCATGAATTGAGGTAATCTATAAATCACCAATTTGGATGTGGTATCCTTTATTTTCTAGTACCTTGGGGTTATCATTTATACTGAGGATTTGATCCAAAGTTTAGGTGAGTCTAGGGATCTTTCTTCCAAAGTCTGCAGTTACCTTTGGATCAGATCTCAGGTGTACTTAAGAGATAGGACCTCTATTATTTGACTTCGCTCTCTTCTTTGATGACTTATTTGTCTGAATGCCTTCCTGCCTGGTTCAGTCCACATGGCCTTTTCCTGATCTTAAACCCTTACTATTTTATCCATCTACTTTACTGCTTCTCAAGAAATGCTGATGTTACTGTGTTGAAACAATAGGCTTCAGTTTGCATAGAGAAAATACCAGCTCTTTTGCTTTTCTCACTATTCTTTCCATCATAAATATGTTAATGGCTTTGCTGTTAAAGAATTAAATACTAATGCTATTTGTATCTTATGCAAGAGTATTTGAATGTGTTCCTTGGTGCAGATCAGCATGGTCTTAATATCTTAAAAGAAAAAAAACTCCAATCTGCTTTATAACAATGAATGCCCATCTTTTTTGTTATTGTTAGTGTTTTACAGAACAGGTAAACTGATGAGCAAGTTTATTTTTGAGTGCCTAATAAATGGATTATCTTTTACTTATTCAGGTAGTGTCCCATCACTAGCTGCTGGCCTTTTCTTTGGGAGTTTGGCTGGACTGGGTGCCTATCAGCTCTCACAGAATCCAAATAATGTTTGGATTTCTCTGAGTAAGTCATTTAAAATTTTAATTAAAAGGGATTATATTTACCCTAAAATAACTGAATACTTAGAATGAGTACCTAAAAGTCTTTGCGGAAGAGTTAAACTGATGGTGTTACAAACCTAGTTTCAATCCAATCTTTAAACTTCTGGTTTAGTGAAAAATCTCCATTAGTGGCCAAACTCCACTGCTCTTCCCTGGAATGTGAACTATTAGCATTACTTAATTTTTCTTTTAAAAAAAAAATCAAGTTCGTATTGAGAATGCATATTAAAAACTGCTTGTCTTTATGTGTCTTGCTCAGTGATTTCTCACTACATTCCAGCATCCCTTTCACAAGAAGTATAAAGTGCTTTGGGTGATAGTTGAAACTTACATTTTTTGTTCTTTTCGACAACGAGAGAGGAAAATATCTGTTAGTTATCATTAGAGTTTGTTTTCTGAACATCAAAAAATCTACAGATGGTAAAGGAAAATGTGTGAGAGTAAAGTGAAACTTACGTGGTTTAAAAAATTAGTCAAACCAAATACCATTATTTCATGTCCTTCAGCAAAATAAAAATCAAATAAGCATTTTGTGTTTGAAAACTTGTATGTAGTGTGATGTGAATCTCCAGAATGCAATTTTTGTCTTTCTGCCATTTACTATATACATCTCAGGGTTGTGATCAAGTTAGGGACAGTTACCACCTATCACTTTCATCTGTGCATGCCTGAAGCTCATGCCAGTTGCAAAATAACATGATTTGAACTTTTCTCATTTGTTAATAAGTTAGAGTACCTTGCAATTGAAGTGGGCTGAGAAAATATATGTAGACAATTCCTGTAGCTTTGCTGATGCCTCACACTTGTTAGCCTTCTGTATCTCAGGTACTTGTGAACATGTGTTTTATGTAATCCTTTGGCCAACATTTGTGTTAGTAGTATCCTCTCAATTCCTGATCTGTAAAAGACGTCAGTGCATGACAGTTCTGTAGCGCTAGCTATGTTTCAGTCCCCAGGCTTTGCTGAATTGGTGGCTGCCACTATGCATCTGTCTCATATTGGCGTGTTTGAGGGATCATAGTGCAAGGGAAGTGGTAGTAAATTGATGTCTGACTTCTGTGTATCCACCTTTTGGCTGGATCCTACTTTCAGCATCCTGCAGGAGGCTGGAGCATTTCAGGAAGAGTGACTCCCCTGCAGACTGACCATACCCCCAGCAGGTTATTTTGTTATTGCTGAAAATGGCAGAGACTGTGATTGACTTATTTTTACATATGACAAATATGTGGAATTACAAAGGTATTGCACACGTGGGGAGGTTTAACAGAGAAGCAAGCTTCAGTAATGCGGTATCTTCTTCCTTCTTATCGGAACTGGAGCTTCCCTTCTCCCTGACTTTGAGAAGCTGGTTGTGGAGACTCACTGCTTAGTCAGTGCTTAAAGAGCTTCTACAGACTATAGCATTTGTTCACTGAAGCAGTCACATAGCATCTAGCTCGTTGATATGTGAAAGTCAAAAGTGAAAGGGGAAGGCCCAGTGTTTCTCTCCACTTCAGCATTGTCTACGCTGCAGTCCACTTCCACATCTACTGGATAGATCCAAAGCTGTACATGTTCAAGCCTAAATAACTGGAATAAACTGCAAATAGAGCAAACATAACAGGAATGAGACTAAGTATTTTCCCAAAGGCGAGAGACAATTACCTTTCTGTAATTCAGTAGCATATGGAGTCTTTTCCTCCACCCTTTCATACTTTAAAGTGTTTGGAGAAGGTGTGTTCTACTGCTTAGACAAAATTACATTTAGTGAGGTGTGCATATTTTGAAGACTGGCTACTGATTAGAGGTTGAAGTATTTGAATACTTCAGAGTATTTTAGTTCTTTCTTGTGTATTAGACTGTGGTTCCAGTCTTTTACATATCTACTTATATGACACTGTTAGATATCAAGGACAATATTTGGGGTGGTGGTAGAGAGGAAGGATGCCATGGCTAGGATTGAAGATGAGGTGGGTCTTGCAGGACCAGCCCTCACATAGAAGCGGTGGTAGAAGATAAGAGTGGTTGGAACATGTTAACGTGTAGCTGTTACCACTGGGTAGCAGATGCATGCTAAGGCTAAGGACTTAATCAGTGTGATTTCCATATAGCTTTCTTGGTATTCCATCTTTCTTTGAGACACAGCATTCCAGGGATTGCCTTTTCTATTTTAATGGCTTGGTGGAACTACCAGTCTCTATGTCAACTGGTCAGGGTAGATAGCTTTAACTCTCTGATCTTAGTGGAAGGTGGTGCAGTGCAGAAGTGGATTGGTAATGCTTAGCACTTAGCTAGCACATGTCCCTTTTGAAATCTTTTGCAAACATAAATTAGTTAATTCTCATAACATTACTACAAGTAAGACACGAAAATGCTCTCTCCCTTTTATGAGACGCGGGGGAATGATGTGCACAGGTTTAGTGATTTGCCTGTGCACAGGGACAGAGTGAGTTCCAGAGCAGTGCCGCATAGATTTGTTTCCAGTCTCCAAAGAAGAACATTTTGACAAAGAAATTTGAGGAGTGCATGCAGAAGCCTGTGGAGTTCACTGTCTGCTGGAACTTGATTTAGAATTTTTATACCTCACATACTGAGGCATTCCAAAGTTTACACGATTTATTGACTCTTTCTGTCCATCATGAAATAATCCTGTTTCCCTTTTTACTTGATGCTACTACTTCTCTCTGTTCTGTCAGTTCTGAATTGTAGCGTCTCTCTCACACATGCATCTCCACTGACTGGACTGTATAATCTCTCGTTTAAGTTACGTCTGGAACACTGACTGCCATCATGGGAACAAGATTTTACAACTCTGGAAAATTCATGCCTGCAGGGCTAATTGCTGGTGTCAGGTACAGCACAATATGCTTGGCTTTTGTTGGTTTTTTTTTCACCTCCTATGTGTGATTTCTTATTTGCTTAATGAAACTGAGATGGAGTGAATCATATTTTGTGTGCCTTTTTGTTTCCATGCACCAGTTACATGGGAAGTATACATAGGAAGTATTTGAAAATGAATTGACAAATTTTTATTATTGTTTAATTCTGTGTTTTTCCCTTATACAGTTTGCTAATGGTTGGAAGATTAGCACTGAAGATGGTGGAAAAGCCCCACGATAAATAACTGTTCATTTTACAGTTTAACATCTGGATAAGGAAAACTGATAATGAAGTTGCATGAATGCAGAAGCAAGAAGATGGAACAATTTTCTGTATCAAGACAATTTTTTTCCTTTTTTTTATATAAGGGGAGTAGAATGATGGGACAGATAGTTTATATACAAGGTGCCATTTGTTTCAATGATCTGATAGAGCTATTATTGTGTAGTGAGAAATTGATCCTGGGTTTGATATTTCGAGACACATTTCAGTGTATTTTAACGCCTTCAGTTTTTATATTCCAAAATGTACTGCTGACATGTATGAAGCAGAGAGGACCTGTAATTAAGGAAGTATCCACAAAGAGGCACCAAGAGTAATTGGCTAAATACAGCAGTGTATCTTGTATCTTTCATACTGAGTATGAATACAGTATACTTTACCTGCTGCATTCAGAGTTGATACACCATGTCTGCATAACACCAAACAGATGTTACCTTTCTATTGTGTCAGGATGCTAAAATGTTGCTTTTCTACAAGTAAAATCTGTTACAAACCTTTATTTAGCATGTTTTTGTGTCCTTCTTGTGTGTATGGGGGTAGGGGGTAATTATTTTTTACCTTCTTGTTTTCTTCTCAGTGGAAGTCTTTGCAGTGAACTGTTAGCATCCAAGTGCTGTCTTTCAATATTTAAAAATCAGGTTTTAAATTGAGGGATAGATATTTAATTAAGGGGCTTCATTAACACTGCATTGAAACAGGTGTTGGAAAGGAACTTACTCTGTGAATTAACTGAGATATGTGCTAGGCTAAATGAACAGTTGAATGTGATCTGGCCAAAGGACTGTATACTTAGAATAAAATAGCTTAACTTTGACACTATGTATTTCTGATCTTATTTGACAATAGAATGTATCAGCATTTTATTTTTATCACTTAGGGAAGTGATAAAAGCGATCACATCCTGGGCTGCATCACAAGCAGCGTGGCCAGGAGGTCGAGGTTATTCGCCCCCACTACTCTGCTCTGGTGATACCCCACCTGCAGTGCTGTGTCCAGCTCTGGGGCCCCCAGCACAAGAAAGACCTGGACCTGCTCGAGTGGGTCCAGAGGAGGCCATGAAGATGCTCAGGGGGCTGGAGCACCTCCCCTGTGAGGACAGACTGAGAGAGCTGGGGTTGTTCAGCCCGGAGAAGAGAAGGCTCTGGGGAGACCTTCTAGCGGCCTTCCAGTACTTAAAGGGGGCTACAGGAAAGGTGGGGAGGGACTCTTGATCAGGGAGAGCAGTGATAGGGCGAGGGGGAACGGTTTCAAACTGAAAGAGGGGAGATTGAGATCAGATATCAGTAAGAAGTTCTTCACTGTGAGGGTGGTGAGGCACTGGCACAGGTTGCCCAGAGCAGCTGTGGCTGCCCCCTCCCTGGCAGTGTTCAAGGCCAGGCTGGATGGGGCTTGGAGCAACCTGGTCTAGTGGGAGGTGTCCCTGCCTGTGGCAGGGGGTTGGAACGAGATGGTCTTTAAGGGCCCTTCCAACCCAAACCGTTCTATCATTCTAAGTGGCTATGCCTCCAAATCTGTGTTTACTAGGAAACCTTGGAGTCAGGAGAGTTCTTGGTTCTGCTGTGGTGCCTGAGGACTGAGGTGTGGAAGAGGCATCAGTGGCATCTGGTGCGTTTGTTGACAATCCAATCTTGATCGCTTCTTCTGCACTCAGTCTCCCAGCTCTTATTAGTGCAGGTACAGCTAATGTGGGCTTAGCACTGTGATGGAAGGGAGAGGCAAGAAATGTGCAACAGAAAATGCTTTATCAATTTATTCTTTAGTGATATGTGATTATTGATAAACTAGGATTCTTACAGTGTGTAATTCATATTTTAAAGTGATATTTTATGTAGTGACTATATAAGATTTTACTTTGGGACCTCTATATCATTGATTATAAAAAACTCTGTCAACTGCATAACATAATTATGGCAAAGCAGGTTTAAATTAACTTACATCTTACATACTTCCAATTTTGTGGTGCTTAAAGGAATTTGTAACAATTCTCTCAAACTGCATAAAGCAAAATACTAACCTACATGATTGCTCCATATCATTGGTCACTTCAAAGCTTGTATTTCCACTTCTGAAACTGGCATTTAACAGTGTTGAGCCAGAGTGACATTTCTATTGTGAATTAATGGAAACCCATATGTAGCAGATTGAATTTTTTATTTATTTTATATTTATATTTATAAATTTATATTTATTTATATAATTATAATTTATAATTATTTTATAGTTACAAGCAGATCTATAGATGTTGGGCCAATTGTGCTGTGTGTTACTAATTCTATTAGCAGAAGTTATAAAATGAATTCCAGGTTTTTGAACATATTTCATATTGTAACCTTTCTTGTTTCCAGGTACTTAATCCGTAAATAACCTGATCTGTTCAGGTTGGATCTGCAGGGAGCAATGCTAAAAACATGTAAAAGTCTGTCTGAAATTCTAATCTCATTTAAATCATAGCCTCTTTTGACCATGCTGTAACCAAAATCCAACAGAAGTTTTGTAGTTATCTTCATATATTTTAAATTACCCTATGTAATAGAATAGAAAATTCCATCCCTGCTATAGAATTTTCTAGAGCCATTCAAGAGTTATACATATTAATATCCTTTCTCCAGACTGCCTGTGCTTTTGGGCTGATTGTTAGATAATCCTACAAGTTTTCTTTCATATTTTTGTTGTGTAGGTTTTGGTGGTTTTTTCCCACTGAGGGTTGTTTCTGTAAATTGAGGTTATTACTTTTGCATTGAGTTCTCTGTGGCCATGCCATGGCTTCAGTGAAACTTCATGCTGTGAGTCAGCTTGTGTATGGATGTAATGTTTGGAAAAAGTGATTTATTTATTTTTAGGATATGAACTGTTAAAATAATTCTTATATTAAGGATGTTCTGTTCGAAGCACACTCTAAAAGTAAAAATGTTAGTTTAATATTATCATATGAGCTGTCAGCACAAGCTGAAATGAGTACTGATTTTTTTAACGGGGCACGGGAACAGGAAACTAGTTTTAAAATACACGAATTGGGTCACCAGGATTCAATAACTCGGAGTTTAATAATGTCTCCAGAACACAAATACATTCTAGTAATGACAGCAGAAGAGTTTGGATTATCAAATGCTCATTTCCCAGAGCGAAGACCCAGGCTGTCTTTTCCACATGTTGTTGTCACATCTACAGTGCCTGGTGGAAGCTGGGTGGCAATAGGAAATGTCAAGTATTTTACCCCTCACTCGAGGGGCTCACTCAAGACTAGAGGAGGGAATTTCCTGTTCACTTTGGTAGATAAATGATCTCTTGGAAGTAGGAGCTTGCCCTAGACCTTGTAAGGGCGATGTATAAGCATACCTGTCTTTGTAGCAGCAGTTACTCACCTTAAGTCCTGGAAAGCGAGTGGTGTTGGGCTCCCTTCAGTTCCTGCTTTGGATGGGTCTAAGGTCCCTTCCCAGGAGAGGGGTCTGTGCCTCAGGCTGTGGGATATCCCACAGGGGGAACATTGCCTGGGGAAACCACACCGCAGCAGGGAAGAGCGCAAAGTTCCTGGGACCTGTGGGAACAGGAGCAACTATTTTTTTTTTTTTTAGTTTTCTTTTAAAGCTAAACAGTAACTGGCAAAAATAGAGAAACATCCTGAAACCGAGAAGTGGAATCCAGGTTCCTCTCTGCCCAGGTGGAAAAAGCATGGGACAACCTACATTTCACCTGTGCTATATGTTTACTTCTGGCTAAGCCAAGATTCTTTCCCATTTGGGATCTTAGCTGGGGTGTCCCAGTTGCTCATGCTGGGGCAGCACCAGGCATGTACAGGCTGGGAATGTTACAAACCACCCAGTTAGTGGAGATGTGAGCAAAGATTGGGGGGGGGGGGGTGGCAAAATTTTGTACGTTTGAGTGTCTTGGTTGTGCATTAGTCTTTACAGGTGCAACACTGAGACCTCTAATACAGCGATAATGTACTGAGGCTCAGTTGCAGCACTGAGTTGAGGGGAGGAGAAGCAGTCTTTTTACTCACCCATTGATAGGTGTCACACCTGAAGCTGTTCTTTCAATTAATGTGACGCTTGCAGGTAGCAAAATCTCTTTAATGTAGTACAAACCTGTAGTATAGCATAAGAATATAGGTAGCATTACACTAGCAGTACAGACAACTGTCGTTTACAGGCTAGCAAAGGAGAATGAGAGTAGGATGGAAAATGTTTCAAGTGAAATGGCTTGTAGAAGGGAAGTATTCATGTGCTGTCCTATTTTATCCCTTGTTCTAAGAATATAGTATGTGACTGGTATTAATGCAAAGTGTATCCCCTAGCTCTTCTTCTGCTGCAGGCTTTGAAAGTGCAATTTGCCATGTCCCCGTTCTGTCAGTCATTGTGCTGGGAGCTGTTGGCACTCTGTCATCCCTGGCTGAGGGTCAGTCCATGCTGAAACTGCTATGGCCTGAAGTATTATGCAATTATTCTTTTGTGGTGTTAAAATTGCTGGCTTCTTGGCATTATAGTCATGCTTTCTGACTGCACGGTTTAATCACCTGGAAAAATGGGAGGGGGAAAAAAGGTCAGGAGAACCTCCAGGCAGTTATGACAGAAGGAGGAAAGCCTTTGTTCCTCCAGAATCCCTACAAGGAAAAATGGCAAAATGTTGCATCAATATTGGCACAGAGATATCTGCACACGTCTCCTCTCCTGCTTCCTTCAAATGCCACGCTGGAGCAGATCAAAATGCTTATGGTTTGGTGCTGTATCCTCAGCTCAGTCCAGTGCACAAGCAACTTTGGGTGTTCCTTTTAGTCTTCGCGTGCTTCTCTTCTGAACCTGTGAGATGGAGATAATGTTTTCTCTATCCCTTCCCTGTCTGTCTTCTACATTGCTGTCTTATGCAGTGTGTGGCATAACATATTCCCCACGCCAGAAGCAAGAACTGGTAGGTCTGATACTGTTTTATTGCTGGTAATTAATACTTGTTTTAATTTAGTACTCTTTTACAAAATATCTAATGAGAAAAACCGTGGTAGGACAAATGTCTCTTTCTCTTCCTTCATGTCATTAGATGTTAGCATTTGCGTAGTATTTTGAGATCCTCTCCTGCAAGTTCTGTAACTAAGTTGAATGAAGTTTTAGTGCTAATACTTAAGAATGATAGA